CCAGGGCGACCGCCCCCAAACTGGCAAAAAAAAAAGTTTTTTAAAAAAGTTTAAAAAACCCTTCCGCTTTCAAACCAGGAAGAGGGATGGGTTTTGTTTTTGCAAGCATCACAAGCCCCGGGGGAGGCTGAGACTCCCCCGGAAAATTTCGGAGGTAGCCCCCGCCCCTGCGCCCCCCTGAACTCTACGCCTATGGTCTACCCTCCAAAGCAGCCATTTTCTCCAGGGGGACTGATTTCTGTCGTCTGGAGATCAGTTGTAAACAGGGGTCATTTCGTAGAAGAGGTGTCGAAGCTCATTAGCATAACTCATTGGCATAGCTTATTTGCATATGCCACACCCCCTGACATCACCGGAAGTGTGTCAGAGGGCAACACCCATCGCTCAGGCTCCACTGGACTGTTCTGGATTGCTAGCTATTGGGGGGGGGGGACGTGCAGATCTGTCCTCACAGGGGAGGGAGAGCTTGTACCTGGATAAAACTTGGTCTTAAAGGTGCCACTGGACTGTTTTGGACTGCTAGCTATGGGGAGGGGGAAATGTGCAGATCTGCCCTCACAGAGGAGGGAGAGCTTGTACCTGAAGGTAGGCCGGGGGGGGTGGCTCTGCAATTTACTTGGCTCCTTCTTGCTCCTCGTGGCCCGACTGAGGGCTGTTGGGAGCAGGGGGTGGGGCTTGTTGCATGTGCCCGCCCCCTGGGCTCCTTACTGCCGGAGCTCCGCTCCTGTGTGCTCCCACAGGAAATGACCCCGGTTGTAAAAGCAGTAGATCTCCAGGCCCCACCTGGAGGCTGGCAACCCTATGATAGCCCAAAGGTCTGGTTCGGTATAAGGCAGTTTCATGTGTCCATGTATCCAGTGGCAAGAGAGGGGGCTGGGATTTGGATAGCCTGCATGGCTGTGAAAATGCCCTTGCTCCAAATGACCACTGAACGGACATCAGCATTCCCAATGGCATATATCTATATGCCCTGCATAATTTTCAGAGCAAAAATGATACAGTTCCTTCATATACAAAAACCAAAGTGCTCTTTTCTAGAGTACTTCTGCCTCTCAGTTTAAGGACAAACAGAATGTAAAATGGAACCAGACACAGGAAATGCGCCTGTGAGCAATTTATCCTTTTCATTTGCACATTTCGCCATAGTTATGGTCGGGTTTAGGGGTGGGGCTGTGTTTTGGTGGTAGATCTGATTCACCACATGCAACTGATGCTTCTTCCTAGTGTCATTTGAAGGTTGTGTGTGAATGGTGCTGGAAGATACTGTGGTGGAGGCGATGAATAGCCTTTGGTCTAGGGTGGCTACTTCAGATGTGCAGAGGTGATCGTTCAGTGGTGTGATGATGAATGTGTCAACTCAGTCTTATACGTTAGCAGAGGGGATGGAAACAGGTGGGGTGAGACACATCAGTAGCTATGATGCTCAGTGTTACTCCAGCACTGAAGCAATGTTAAGTGATGCAGGAGCACCCCTTGGTGTAACATGCATGTGCCAATCGACTGGACCATGCCAAGATCAACACTTGTAACTTGGAAGCAGGGCACATGAGATATTTGGAAGCATCTGTACCCAAGATAATTTTTCAGCTGTGCAGAAAACTAGGGCAAAGCTCCCTTGGACTTGTGGGATACCCTTGCTTGTGTTTGACAAAGTTGCCTCTATTCACTGTACCGTTCCTTTCTTTGTGTTTGAATAAACGTGTTTGTTTTTGTTACATCTCAGGTGTGTGAGCGGCAAAGTGTTGGCTGAGACCTGTGAAGTGTAGCTTTGTGTTGCCTCAGCCGGGCCTTGAGCCAGTAGAGTTATCAAAAAGATAGCTAGAATGTGTGTGTGTGGAGGGGTTACACACATTAAACTCTCCCATCTCTTACACAGA